CACTACTGACTACAACTACTGACCACAACCACAACTACTGACAACAACACAAACACAAAACTACTGACCACAACTACTGACCACAACTACTGATCAAAACCACACAACTACTGACCACAACTACTGAACCACAAAACTACACTCACCAAAAATATAAACGCAACATGCAACAATTTACAGTTCATATAAGGAAATCTGTCTATATTGAAATAAATTCATTAGGCCCTAATATATGGATTTCATGTGACTGGGAATACAGATATGCATCTGTTGGCCACAGACAGCATTAAAGAAAGGTAGGGGTGTGGATCAGCAAACCAGTCAGTATCTGGTGTGACCACCATTTGCCTCATGCAGTGCAACACATCTCCTTCATATAGAGTTGATCAGGCTGTTGATTGTGGCCTGTAGAATGTTGTCCAACTCCACATCAATGGCTGTGCAAAGTTACTGGATATTGGTGGGAACTGGAACACGCTGTCGTATACGCCGATCCAGTGCATCCCAAACATGCTTAATGGGTGACATGTTTGGTGAGTATGCAGGCCATCGAAGAACTGGGACATTTTCAGCTTCCAGGAATTGTGTACAGATCCTAGCGACATGGGGCCATGCATTATCATGCTGAAACATGATGATGGCGGCGGATAAATGGCACGACAATGGGCCTCAGGATCTCGTCACAGTATCTCTGTGCATTCAAATTGCCATCGATAAAATAAAATTCAGTTTGCTGTCAATAGCTTATGCTTGTCCATATCATAACCCCACTGCCACCATGGGGCACTCTGTTCACAACTTTGAAATCAGCAAACCGCTCGCCCACAAAATGCCGAACACGCTGTCTGCCATCTGCCTGGTACAGTTGAAACCGTGATTCATCAGTGAAGAGAACACTTCTCCAGAGTGCCAGTGGCCATCTAAGGTGAGCAGTTGCCCACTGAAGTCGGTTACAACGCCGAACTGCAGTCAGGTCAAGACCCTGGTGAGGACGACGAGCACGCAGATGAGCTTCCCTGAGACGGTTTCTGACAGTTTGTGCAGAAATTATTTGGCTGTGCAAACCCACAGTTTCATCAGCTGTCCGGGTGGCTGATCTCAGATGATCCCTCAAGTGAAGAAGCCGGATGTCGAGGTCCTGGGCTTGCGTGTTTACACTTGCTCTGTGGTTGTGAGGCCGGTTGGATGTACTGCCAAATTCTCTTAAAGGATGTTGGATGCAGCTTATGGTAGAGAAATGAACACTCAATTCTCTGGCAACAGCTCTGGTGGACATTCCTACAGTCAGCATGCCAATTACATGCTCCCTCAAATCTTGGCATATCTGTGGCATTGTGTTGTTTGACAAAACTGCACATTTTAGAGTGGCCTTTTATTGTACCTGGTGCACCTGTGTAATGATTATGCTGTTTAATCAGCTTCTTGATAAGACACATCTGTTAGGTGGATGGATTATCTTGGCAAAGGAGAAATGCTCACTAAAAATGATGTAAACAAATTTGTGCACAACATTTTTGCAAAATAAGCTTTTTGTGCATATGGAACATTTCTGGGATCTTTTATTTCAGCTCATGAAACATGGGACCAGCACTTTACATGTTGCGTTTATATTTTTTTGCATAATACTTACCAAAACGACTGACCACAACTACTGACCATAACCACACAACTACTGACCACAACTACTGTCCACAACTACTGACCACAACCACTAAACTACTGACCACAACTACTGACCATTAATGACCACAACTACTGACCACAACTACTGACCACTACTGACCACAACTACACAACTACTGACCATAACTAATGAACCACACAACTACTTACTAAAACTACTGACCACAACTACAGACGAAAACTACTGTCCACAACCACACAATTACTAACCACAAAACTACTGAACCACACAACGTATGACCACAACAACATAACTACAGACCACAACTAATGACGTCAGATCTACTACACACATAATATCCTGACTAAATGTTCTAACATATGTGGCTCACAGGCAAACAGGTAAGGAAAAAAACGCGAACAAAAATAACATGATAACATCAGTTGCTTTGTGCATATTGCTAGAACCTGTTTCTTGAATTCTAAACATCAGACATTTGAAATCTCTGTTTTTGACCATCATGATACCTCTTATGGCAGTAATATAACATAAATGTACATTACAATATAGGTTCAGCAAATCCTCTTCTTGTTTGGGATACCTTTAAATGGTACTTCAGAGGCCATTCAATTCCATATTCACCAGCAAAGAAAAAGCAGTTTGTGTTGATAGAGACAAGACTAACAAGGGAAATTCAGGAACTAACAGTACTGGTAGATAGCAATAAAAACGGTACTACAGAGATACAAAACAAGTTAGAGGAAAAACAAAAACAAATGGAGGAACTATGCGTGGTACTGCAGCACATCTTGCGGGGTGCAGCAGAATTCTATGGTACGTTGCTCCTGTAAGTCGATCTGGATAAGAGCGTCTGCTAAATGACTAAAATGTAAATGTAAATGTTATTTAAGTGTCAGCCATTGTTGCCATTAATGCTAGTTAGTGCTAGTTTGACCACAAGAGGTCATCTTTGAGAAGCTAAGTTATTGAAATGACATGGCGCTGTAGGCCTAAGAGTCCTGTTTACCGTGCCTGTTTTAGGGTAACTTACCTATTGGCAAAGCATACAAGTCATCCATGTCTTTAAATACAGTCAAGCATTTTACTTATAAAATGAAATAACAAAGGGACCCTTGAATAATTAAACAATTAATAAACCGCAACATGTCAGCTAAAGCGATTTAATTCAGGAATGCATTTGACTGTTTTTAATATTGGATGTACTAGAGACTTTAAAAGCTTTTTTTGTTAGAACAGACTACAGTGGCTTGCGAAAGTATTCACCCCCCTTGATATTTTTCCTATTTTGTTGCCTTACAACCTGGAATAAAAATTGTTTTTTTTACACAACATGCCTACCACTTTGAAGATGCAACATATTTTTTATTATGAAACAAACAAGAAATAAGACAAAAAAACTAAAAACTTGAGCGTGCATAACTATTCACCCCCCCCCCCCCCCCCCCCAAAATCAATACCTTGTAGAGCCACCTTTTGCAGCAATCACAGCTGCAAGTCTCTTGGGGTATGTCTCTATAAGCTTGGCACATCTAGCCACTGGGATTTTTGCCCATTCTCCAGCTCCTTCAAGTTGGATGGGTTCCGCTGGTGTACAGCAATCTTTAAGTCATACCACCGATTCTCAATTGGATTGAGGTCTGGGCTTTGACTAGGCCAATCCAAGACATTTAAATGTTTCCCCTTAAACCACTCGAGTGTTGCTTTAGCAGTATGCTTAGGGTCATTGTCCTGCTGGAAGGTGAACCGTCATCCCAGTCTCAAATCTCTGGAAGACTGAAACAGGTTTCCCTCAAGAATTTCCCTGTATTTAGCCCCATCCGTCAATCCTTCAATTCTGACCAGTTTCCCAGTCCCTGCCGATGAAAAACATCCCCACAGCATGATGCTGCCACCAACATGCTTCACTGTGGGGATGGTGTTCTCGAGGTGATGAGAGGTGTTGGGTTTGCGCCAGACATAGCGTTTTCCTTGATGGCCAAAAAGCTAAATTGTAGTCTCATCTGACCAAAGTACCTTCTTCCATATGTTTGGGGAGTCTCTCACATGCGTTTGGCGAACACCAAACGTGTTTGCTTATTTTTTTCTTTAAGCAATGGCTTTTTCTGGCCACTCTTCCGTAAAGCCCAGCTCTGTGGAATGTACGGCTTAAAGTGGACAGATACTCTAATCTCCGCAGTGGAGCTTTGCTGCTCCTTCAGGGTTATCTTTGGCCTCTTTGTTGCCTCTCTGATTAATGCCCTCCTTGCCTGGTCCGTGAGTTTTGGTGGGCGGCCCTCTCTTGGCAGGTTTGTTGTGGTGCCATATTCTTTCCATTTTATATAATGGATTTAATGGTGCTCCATGGGATGTTCAAAGTTTCAGATATTTTTTTATAACCCAACCCTGATCTGTACTTCTCCACAACTTTGTCCCTGACCTGTTTGGAGAGCTCCTTGGTCTTCATGGTGCCGCTTGTTTGGTGGTGCCCCTTGCTTAGTGGTGTTGCAGACTCTGGGGCCTTTCAGAACAGGTGTATATATACTGAGATCATGTGACACTTAGATTGCACCCAGGTGGACTTTAACTAATTATGTGACTTCTGGAGGTAATTGGTTGCACCAGATCTGATTTAGGGGCTTCATAGCAAAGGGGGTGAATACATACGCACGCACCACTTTTCCGTTATTTATTTTTTTGAATTTTTTGAAACAAGTTATTTTTTTCATTTCACTTCACCAATTTGGACTATTTTGTATACGTCCATTACAAGAAATCCAAATAAAAATCCATTTAAATTACAGATTCTAATGCAACAAAATAGGAAAAACGCCAAGGGGGATGAATACTTTTGCAAGGCACTGTATATGGGATTGATTTTTTAGAAATGTAGCTTAATTAATTTGATTAATATTATGGTGTTTCTATTCAAAGAAAAACAAAAATGCATTTTACAGTAGCCTATGTAGGCCTCAGGGTTTCCGTTAGGAAAATATGGCACTGTAGAACGTGACCGGTCGGGATTAGGCCTACTGTAGGCTACTAAGTGATTGCGAGTGAAGAGCAAAATAATCCTAACATTTCCACACCCTAATTGTAGGCTAACCAATACATCATGGGTGGATGGCTTCCTTTTTATTCCAATGGAAGTGGAAACGTGGAAATGTTGTTTGGAGAGTTCACAACCTGCTAAACATGTTTTCAAAATGCCTCCAGCTTTCCATCACTACTGTAAACCGAGAACTGCATTCAAAAAAATTAATACACATCATCTACAGTGGTAAAAAACGGTTTTAAAATGTATATGTTTATTAGGCTACTGTGCAGCCTGACAAGTAAACATAGCCTACATAGTAAACATAGTAAAGTACCTTACATAAGGGAGAGCAGGCCATGATCTCAAGTACTCATTAACTCTGTCTTTAATGCTTTTTCGGGTTGCATCAGTCATGGGCAGAAACTTCTGAGACGCAGTATTAATGATGAACACTCTGTGGTTCACTGGTAAGCCAAATTTGCCTCGGGATCCATCCCAGTTGGTATTCTGTGTCCACTCGTGGTATCTCTCTTCGGTTATACATCCATGGAATAGCAGAACAGCATAATGGTATGGACGGCCCTTGCTGTGCCTGGTGAGCAGTTTGTCAAGTTATGGTGTCAGAAGAGGGATGGAAATGTCATGGTGAACCGACGACCTGACGAACCCGCCACGATTGTTGACTCTGCCTGTCGGAGGTGGAGTTCCAGAGCTCACAGGTGTGCCTGGAATGGACTGTGACTCCATCTCGTTCCTCGCCCTCTTCAACGCGTCATTCTCCGCCTGACTCTCCGCCAATGCCGCCTGGCTCTGGACCAATGCGTCAGCTGTCACCCGTATCTCTGCCCTCAGAGAATGTTTCTCTTTCTGCTGGTCTGCCTTCAATGACTCGATCTCGGTCTTCAAAGTTTGAATCTGATCCATGTGCACCTTCATCAGATGAGCAGAATGGTACCGCCCTGAGCCCCCATCGATTACAGTGGCCTATGATTGAAACAGTAGATACATTAAGAATGACAAGTGACTCCTACACACAAATGCAGCATACAGAAACACATTTTAAGAATCTAGCAAAACTCGCCGCTTTCCTGGGAACCCATGCGTTTTTTCGGTGCGGCCCGTTGTCCAGCCCTTTGTCCACTGATCTCCACAGATGGTTGTCGGCATGGTTGTATGCTCTGGAAACACACGTTCACATTTTTGGTACACAATTATCAATTTCATTGCAGTGTGCCTACACATTGATAGGCTATGTATTTGTTTAAAAAGAAAATGCACTGAAACCAAAATACCTTTAGTTTTGGTGATCCTCTCAGCTCCGGCTCATTTTAAAATCCTCTGGTGGTTACAGTCCTAACCCTGGAACGGGTAGCACCATATAAAGAAGCTGGCTTGCTGAAAACGATGTCGATTCCGTCTGTTCTCTTTGGTCGCAATGAAATGTTTTTGAGATAAACAGATCATTTTTGAATGGTAACTGTGTTAAGGGCAGAGTTTGGGGTGGGGTGAGGAGTACTGGAAAGGTGTGACTCCAGGTTACAATAGGCCATAAGTATACAGCAGATCTCCCATTGTCCTCACTTTGATTATGCTGTAGCAACATTCTGTAGCATGATGACCAGGATCTCTATTCAGTTAAGTGAGCAGATTAGGGCTTTCAGGAGGAACGGAAAATCTACTGGAGACATTTCAAAAATACTGTTAGACTTGGGGATTACGGTCACGGACAGTGCTATTCGCAAACACGATCATCAGATGCCTGTGTTACGCAGAACGCGAAAGCCCAGGAAAATGAACAGGTATAATAGGCTACAATACTGTACAGTAGCTGTCACGTTCGTATAAGGATGGGTCAGACCAAGGCGCAGCATGAAATGCGTACATGTTTATTTACAACGAATAAACACACGACAAAACAATAAACAAACGAAACGTGAAGTCCTAAGGCTGAACACACAACAAACCTATACACGGAACAAGATCCCACAACTACCTAGTGCCAATAGGCTGCCTAAGTATGATCCCCAATCAGACACAACAAGCGACAGCTGCCTCTGATTGGGAACCACACCGGCCAACATAGAAATACACATACTAGATAACACACCTAGAACATACACAACATAGAATATACACATCCTGACACAACATATAAGAGTCCCCTGAGTCAGGGCATGACAGTACCCCCCCCCCAAAGGTGCGGACTCCGACCGCACAACTTTCACACAACATGGTAGGGGCCGGGTGGGCATTCCGCCTCGGAGACGGATCCGGCTCCGGGCGTGACGACCACATACTCTCCGCCTCTCTCTTCCTCCCACGATACTCCAAGACCTGTCTGGAACCTGGTTTGGGAGACCCCGAACCTGGAGAGGGGCTGATGTCTGGGTCTGGACTGGAACCGCTGACCGGAGCTGGACCGGGCACCGGTGGAGCGGACTGCTCTGGCTCCGGAGTGGAGCCGCTGACCGGAGCTGGACCGGGCACCGGTGGAGCGGACTGCTCTGGCTCCGGAGTGGAGCAGCTGACCGGAGCTGGATCAGGCACTGGTGGAGCGGACTGCTCTGGCTCCGGAGTGGAGCCGCTGACCGGAGCTGGACTGGACTCCGGTGGAGCGGACTGCTCTGGCTCCGGAGTGGAGCCGCTGACCGGAGCTGGATCAGGCACCGGTGGAGCGGACTGCTCTGCTTCCCGGTGGAACGGGCACGGGCTGTGCCAGACTGAACACACGCACCACTGGTGCGAGGAGTAGGAACAGGCCGGGCCAGACTGGCGACGCGCACCACTGGCTTGGTGCGAGGAGCAGGAACAGGCCGGGCCGGACTGGGAACATGCACCACTGGCTTGGTGCGGGGAGCAGGACAAGGCCGGGCCGGACTGGGAACACGCACCACTGGCTTGGTGCGGGGAGCAGGATCAGGTCGGGCCGGACTGGGAACACGCACCAGTGGCTTGGTACAAGGAGCAGGCACAGGCCGGGCCGGACTGGCGACACGCACCACTGGCTTGGTGCGAGGAGCAGGAACGGGCCGGGCCGGACTGGGAACATGCACCACTGGCTTGGTGCAGGGAGCAGGAACAGGCCGGGCCGGACTGGGAACACGCTCACTGGCTTGGTGCGGGGAGCAGGAACAGGCCGGGCCGGATTGGGAACACGCACAACTGGCTTGGTGCAAGGAGCAGGAATGGGCCAGGCCGGACTGGCGACACGCACCACTGGCTTGGTGGGAGGAGCAGGAACGGGCCGGGCCGGACTGGCGACACGCACCACTGGCTTGGTGCGAGGAGCGGGAACGGGCCGGACTGGGAACACGCACCACTGGCTTGGTGCGAGGAGCCGGAACGGGCCGGGCCGGACTGGGAACACGCACCACTGGCTTGGTGCGGGGAGCAGGAACAGGCCAGGTCGGACTGGGAACACGCACCACTGGCCCGTTGCGGGGAGCAGGCACGGGCCGTACCCGGACTGTGGAGGCGGACTGGAGGTTTGGAGCGGAGAGCTGACACAACCCATCCTGGCTGGATGCCTACTTCCGCACAGTATGTGTGAGGCATTAGCACAGGACGCACTGGGCTGTGTATGCGCACTGGTGATACAGTACGCAGAACCGGCGCAGGATATGCGGGACCGAGGAGGCGTACTGGAGACCAGGAGCGTTGAGCCGGCACACCCCATCCTGGCTGGATGCCCATCTTCGCACGGAACGGCGTGGTGCTAGCACAGGATGTACAGGACTGTGCCGGCGCACTGGCGACACAGTACGTTGCTCCGCATAACACGGAGCCTGCCCAGTCACACGCTTCCTCGCTTGAGTACGGGGAGTTGGCTCTGCTCTGAAACTAGGCTCCGCCAACCACCCCGTGTGCCCCCCAAAAACATTTTCTTGGGGCTGCTTCTCGGGCTTCCTCCTCGACCAGCACCCTCCGTGTTGCCGTTACTCCTCTCCTGCATGGGCATCTACCTTCACCCATGGTCCTTTCATCGCAAATATCTGTTCCCACGACCACATCTTCCCCACCTGTTCGGTCCTCCTGGGCATGCTGCTTGGTCCGTGTTTGGTGGGATCTTCTGTCACGTTCGTTTAAGGACGGGTCAGACCAAGGCGCAGCGTGAAATGCGTACATGTTTATTTACAACGAATAAACACATGACAAAACAATAAACAACCGAAACGTGAAGTCCTAAGGCTGAACACACAACAAACCTATACACTGAACAAGATCCCACAACTACCTACTGCCAATAGGCTGCCTAAGTATGATCCCCAATCAGAGACAACGAGCGACAGCTGCCTCTGATTGGGAACCACACCGGCCAACATAGAAATACACATACTAGATAACACACCTAGAAAATACACAACATAGAATATACACACCCTGACTCAACATATAAGAGTCCCCTGAGTCAGGGCGTGACAGTAGCCTAATAAGGCTAAAAATAATGCTTAAATAAATCTACTGCTGGTCTTTACTGTCTGCTGCACATTTTTACACTGTATTCCATTTCCAGCGAGACTATTCAAGCCATCGACTCACTAATGGATGAAGATGATGAGCGATCGGCAAAGGCCATTTGGAATCTGCTGGCATCACGGCACAACATCAACATCACTCTAATCACAGTTAGAAGACAGTTGAAGAAACTTGAGTGGACTTATGGAAAGGCTCGGTAAGACATTTTATATATATATATATATATATATACACACACACAGTACCAGTCAAAAGTTTGGACACACATACTTATTCAAGGGTTTTTCTTTATTTTTACTATTTTCTACATTGTAGAATATTTGTGAACACATCAACAATATGAAATAACACATGGAATCATGTAGTAACCAAAAAAGTGTTAAACAAAAATATGTTTTATATTTGAGATTCTTCAAAGTAGCCACCCTATGCCTTGATGACAGCTTTGCACTCGCTTGGCATTCTCTCAACCAGCTTCATGAGGTAATCACCTGGAATGCATTTAAATTAACAGGTGTACCTTCTTAAAAGTGAATTTGTGGAATTTCTTTCCTTCTTAATGCATTTGAGCCAATCAGTTGTGTTGTGACAAGGTAGTGGTGGTATACAGAAGATCGCCCTGTTTGGAATAAGACCAAGTCCATATTATGGCAAGAATAGCTCAAATAGGGAAAGAGAAACGACAGTCCATCATTACTTTAAGACATGAAGGTCAGTCAATACGGAAAATTAGTAGGTGTGTCCAAACTTTTGACTGGTACTGTATATATATATATATATATATATATATATATATATATATATATATATATATATATATATATATTTCATAAAATAAACCATGTGTTCTCTTGTTTTGTACTGTTATGTAGTTCCGACCCAATGATTCGTCTGACAAACAAAGAATTTTGCGTGCTGCAGGCCCAGGCATGGATCAAAGCTGGTGAGATGTACAGTAGTTGAAATAAACATCTGTGAGTCGTCTTTATTATTTTATTAACGAAAGCATAAAGATGTTGATGAACAAATACTGTACAGTATATGCTTCATCCAACATGTTGTGGTTGAATGAGGTTTAGAGTACTTAAGCATTGAATACATTTCAAGTTGGCGGGATTTTTCCCTCCTAGCCGAGCTATTAGACTATCCTTTTGTAAATTAATGGAGGTATGAATGTTTCAGTCTATCTTCAATATAATAATTCATTCAGAAGGTTAAACCCATAGGCCTTAGGCCATAGGTCTCAGGCCTGCAGTAAATTATTGAATTCTATAAAACAAAATAAAACCTTTGCATTTATTTATTAGGCTACTGTGCAGTGTCTTTACATACAATGCTCCTCCTACCCTCCTTCTTGATCTCCTTCTTGGCAAGAGTCTATTGTCCTGCTAATAGCCCATCATGGGTGGATGGCTTCTTTTGTATTCCAATGTATTGAATTCATGTATTTATTACAGTCATTTGCCATTCTCACTCTCAGAGTGGAAACGTTGTTTGCAGAGTTCACAACCTGCTACACTTGAGAAAAATATGTGTTTGAGAACATGTTTTCAAAATACCTCCAGCTGACCATCACTAATGTAAATAAAAACACAGCATCTACAGTGGTACAAATATATTATTGAATTCGATTTAAAAAAGCCACATTTGCCTCGGGATCCATCCGAGTTGGTATTCTGTCTCCACTCGTGGTATCTCTCTTTGGTTACACATCCTTGGAATAGCAGAACAGTTTTGACTTACATCATGTAAGTACATTACTTGGTCAAAAACGCACAAATATCCCTGCAAATGAAAATGGTCTGATCTCCACGAATGCCAACCGAACTGAGAAATAAGTTTCATTTTTAAACTAACAAGTGGTTGCCATGGTGAATAATCCAATAATAATTGGTAGGACACCTAAAAGGAAACATCAAAGAGTTTACCGAAATCTCTAAATGAAACTACTGGCAGATCAATAAAATGTCCTTGTGTAGATCTAATTAAATTTAGAGGATTCTAAATTAATATATAAGGAGCTTTTATACAATTATAATGCAGGGTTAATAATAAATTAATGTATTTGTAGGGGTTGATGCATTTTTCGTTAGGGCAAATCTGGTCTGTAACATTGATTAAGAAATGTAAACCCTCACGAAAAGAACGTCAATTTGTGCCACAGTTTAGACTACCGATAGATCAGCGTTCTAAATCCCCATTGTGATTATGTGGTGCAATTACAGAATGATACAATTTACCACAATTTGTATTAATTTATTTATTTTAACTAGGCAAGTCAGTTAAGAACAAATTCTTATTTATAATGACAGCCTACCCCGGACAACGCTGGGCCAATTGTGCACCGCCCAATGGGACTCCCAATCCCGGCCGGATTGTGATACAGCATGGAATCGAACCAGGGTCTGTAGTGACGCCTCTAGCACTGAGATGAAGTGCCTTACACCGCTGTGCCACTCGGGAGCCAACAATCTGCCACCACTCACCACAAACGGTCGCAGCATAAGCTCAAAACTTTTAAAGGAAGAACCACTGTAACCTATTGCAAAAATAAAGCAAACTGGATGGAATATGGATAAAAATGAAACAAAATTCTTCCTGAATCTTCAACACAAGAACGCTACCAATCCATGATTCTCGAAATTATATTTTAAAAGAGGAAGCTAAATATTTTAAGCAGATGTTTTCTTTTCCATCTCCTCCTCATCCTCTGAATGACGATTACTGTAAATAATTATTTCCATTCATTTTTTCCTTTTTTATACAGTGAGGGAAAAAAGTATTTGATCCCCTGCTGATTTTGTACGTTTGCCCACTGACAAAGAAATGATCAGTCTATAATTTTAATGGTAGGTTTAATTGAACATCGAGAGACAGAAAAACAAAACAAAAATCCAGAAAAATGCATGTCAAACATTTTATAAATTGATTTGCATTTTAATGAGATAAATAAGTATTTGACCCCTTTTCAATCAGAAATATTTCTGGCTCCCAGGTGTCTTTTATACAGGTAACGAGCTGAGATTAGGAGCACACTCATAAAGGGAGTGCTCCTAATCTCAGTTTGTTACCTGTATAAAAGACACCTGTCCACGGAAGCAATCAATCAATCAGATTCCAAACTCTCCACCATGGCCAAGACCAAAGAGCTCTCCAAGGATTTCAGGGACAAGATTGTAGACCTACACAAGGCTGGAATGGGCTACAAGACCATCGCCAAGCAGCTTGGTGAGAAGGTGACAACAGTTGGTGCGATTATTCGCAAATGGAAGAAACACAAAAGAACTGTCAATCTCCCTCGGCCTGGGGCTCCATGCAAGTTCTCACCTCGTGGAGTTGCAATGATCATGAGAACGGTGAGGAATCAGCCCAGAACTACATGGGAGGATCTAGTCAATGATCTCAAGGCAGATGGGACCATAGTCACCAAGAAAACAATTGGTAACACACTATGCCGAGAAGGACTGAAATCATGGAGCGCCCGCAAGGTCCCCCTGCTCAAGAAAGCACATATACATGCCCGACTGAAGTTTGCCAATTAACTTCTGAATGATTCAGAGGAGAACTGGATGAAAGTGTTGTGGTCAGATGAGACCAAAATTGAGCTCTTTGGCATCAACTCCACTCGCCCGTGTTTGGAGGAGGAGGAATGCTGCCTATGACCCCAAGAACACGATCCCCACTGTCAAACATGGAGGTGGAAACATTATGCTTTGGGGGTGTTTTTCTGCTAAGGGGACAGGACAACTTCACCACATCAAAGGGACGATGGACGGGGCCATGTACCGTCAAATCTTGGGTGAGAACCTCCTTCCCTCAGCCAGGGCATTGAAAATGGGTCGTGGATGGGTATTCCAGCATGACAATGACCCAAAACACACGGCCAAGGCAACAAAGGAGTGGCTAAAGAAGAAGCACATTAAGGTCCTGGAGTGGCCTAGCCAGTCTCCAGGCCTTAATCCCATACAAAATCTGTGGAGGGAGCTGAAGGTTCGAGTTGCCAAACGTCAGCCTCGAAACCTTAATGACTTGGAGAAGATCTGCAAAGAGGAGTGGGACAAAATCCCTCCTGAGATGTGTGCAAACCTGGTGGCCAACTACAAGAAACATCTGACCTCTGTGATTGCCAACAAGGATTTTGCCACCAAGTACTAAGTCATGTTTTGTAGAGGGGTCAAATACTTATTTCCCTCATTAAAATGCAAATCAATTTATAACATTTTTGACATGCGTTTTCTGGATTTTGTTGTTGTTATTCTATCTCTCACTGTTCAAATAAACCTACCATTAAAATTATAGACTGATCATTTCTTTGTCAGTGGGCAAACTTACAAAATCAGCAGGGGATCAAATACTTTTTTCCCTCACTGTATATTTTTTACAAATGCACAAAAAGTTGGTATTCTGTCTCCACTTGTGGTATCTCTCTTTGGTTATACATCCTTGGAATAGCAGATCAGTTTTGACTTACATTTGGTCAAAAATTGCACAAATATCCCTGCAAATGAAAATGGTCTGATCTCCACGAAAGCCAACCGAACTGAGAAATAAGTTTCATTTTTATACTAACAAGTGGTTGCCATGGTGAATAATCCAATAATAATTGGTAGGACACCTAAAAGGAAACATCAAAGAGTTTACCGAAATCTCTAAATGAAACTATGGCAGATCAATAAAATGTCCTTGTAGATCTAATTAAATTTAGAGGATTCTAAATTAATATATATGGAGCTTTTATACAATTATAATGCAGGTTTAATAATAAATTAATGTATTTGTAGGGGTTGATGCATTTTTCGTTAGGGCAAATCTGGTCTGTGACATTGATTAAGAAATGTAAACCCTCACGAAAAGAACGTCAATTTGTGCCACAATTTAGACTACCAATAGATCAGCGTTCTAAATCCCCCTTGTGATTATATGGTACAATTACAGAATGATGCAATTTACCACAATTTGTATTTATTTATTTATTTTAACTAGGCAAGTCAGTTAAGAACAAATTGTTATTTATAATGACAGCCTACCCCGGACAACGCTGGGCCAATTTTGCGCCGCCCTATGGGACTCCCAATCCCGGCTGGATTGTGATACAGCATGGAATCGAACCAGGGTCTGTAGTGACGCCTCTAGCACTGAGATGAAGTGCCTTAGACCGCTGTGCAACTCGGGAGCCAACAATCTGCCACCATCTACCACAAACGGTCGCAGCATAAGCTCGAAACTTTTAAAGGAAGAACCACTGTAACCTATTGCAAAAATAAAGCAGACTGGATGGAATATGGATAAAAATGCACAAAATTCTTCCTGAAACTTCAACACAGGAACGCTACCAATCCATGATTCTTGAAATTATATTTTAAAAGAGGAAGCTAAATATTTTAAGCAGATGTTTTCTTTTCTGTCTCCTCCTCACCCTCTGAATGACGATTACTGTAAATAATTATTTCCATTCTTTTTTTTTCTTTTTTCTTTTTTATATCTTTTTTTTACAAATGCACAAAAAGATCAGTGTGAAGGCCAAATTACAAAGGAAGAACTTCTTAAAGCTAATAAATAATTTCAGTCTGGAAAAACCCCAGGGCTTGATGGCACACCGGTAGAGGTAAATCAAGCCTTTTTTTATATAATCAAAGCTCAATTTCTAGCTTGTTTTAACTACTCCTATAGAAATGGTAGTCTGTCAGGTGCTCAGCAGGAAGATTTCACGGTTATTAAAACCCAGATGGAAAATACAAAAGATTCAGTCCATCTAAAAACTGGAGGCCTCTTACACTTCAATGTTAAATTAAATAATAATATGCCATTTAGCAGACGCTTTTATCCAAAGCGACTTACAGTCATGCGTGCATACATTTTTGTGTATGGGTGGTCCCGGGGATCAAACCCACTACCTTGGCGTTACAAGCGCCGTGCTCTACCAGCTGATGCAAAAATACTAGCGAAATGCAGAGCACTCAGAATTAAAAAGGTTTTACCAGGTATTGTTCATCCTGATCAGACAGGTTTTTTACATGGTCTATACATTGGAGACAATATACAACAACTACTAGCAATAATAGAACAACATGAAACATCTAAGAAGCCAGGCCTGGTATTCATAGTGGATTTGGAAAAGGCCTTTGATAAAGTAAGACTGGATTTTACATATAAATACCTGGATTTTTTAAAATTTCGGTGAGTCTCTTATTCAATGGGTAAAAGTAATGTAAAGCAACCCCATGTGTAAACTAGTAAATAGTGGCTACTTCTCAGATAGTTTTGAACTGTCAAGAGGAGTTAAACAAGGGTGTCCGCTGTCACCATATCTATTAGTTATGGCCATCGAAACGCTAGCTATTAAAATCAGATCAAATAACAACATTAGACGATTCGAAATCCAAGGCTTAAAAATGAAGGTGTCCATGTATGCCGATGACTCAAGTTTTATATTAAGTCCGCAAGCTAGATCCCTGCAATGTCTCATTGAAGATCTAGATAACTTTTCTGGCCTCTCTGGACTAAAACCTAATTATGATAGGTGTACCATATTAAGTATTGGATCTAAAAAAAACACAACTTTTACATTACCCTGCAGTTTACCTATAAAATGGGCTGACGGTGAAGTAGACATACTTGGTATTCATATCACAAAATATATAAATGAGCTCTCCACAATTAATTTCAATAAAAAACTAGTAAAAATAGACAAGATCCTGCAACCATGGAGAGG